GGTAAACAGAGAGCTTTGTCTTAAAGCTCAGCTCCCTCTTCACCACAATGGACCAGTACAGAGTCCACAATACTGAAGATGCTACTCCAGTCAGTCTGTCAATCTCGCGCTCGATTCTTCCCTCATTTGTGAACAAAACCCCAAGATACTTGGACTCCTTCACTTGAGGCAGAACCTCGTCCTCGCTCTAAAGAGAAATCCACCATTTTCCGACTGAGTACCAACTGTTTCTACTGAAGTTGTTTTAGCAGCAATACACTCACTCAGGGTTTGGACCGACTCAGACTAGCTGCCGGCTCATCAGTCTGGTCAGAATTCAAACGACTTCTTTAAATTGAGGTTGTTCAAAGAGCTATCCAAAACAAGTAGGATATTAACTGTTAAAATCTTTTCACAGAACCTTTGAAAAAATTCTGAGCAAACAATATAAAAGTTTTATAGTAAAATAAAGTCTGGATTTTAGTAACTTTCTTACGTGAATAATTAAAACTGGGTCATCATGTGTCAGGCTGCACCTAATTAGCATAAAGGTATCTGCTGTATTTTTACTGTTGTTTCTTAGTAAAGTAAGAAATTAAACAGAAACTGTTCACCATTCACTAATTGCTAAACAAATATTGTATGGCAAGAAATTTGGAAATTTTTACCCCCCCCCCAAAAAAAAACCATATTTAAAGTGACTTCTGAATCTTTTTTTATTTTCTTTGGTTATGAAAACAGAATTTCACCTTTATTTTCATGTGCCATTGTAATCAAGGCATAAAGCAACACTGCATGAAGGCTCTTTCTTATATAATCTCATGAAAATAATCCACAAACAGAAAAACAATTTTTTTTTATTATTATCACTCCGTTTCATTACATTCGTGTGACGTTGTTTCTGTTTTGCGTACTTTCTCCAGTTTTCAGCGCTCTGAGTCCATGACCTGGTTACTGTGCAGGAAGAGTCCAGACTGATATATTAATGCATAAAGCTGCTTCGCTCATTATCAGCTGCATTTAGCCTATGATTAACTTACGCACACAAGGCGTGATTAAAAGTCAGGGTGAAAATATTCCATACATGTTTAATGTTCCACTAACAAGGAAACCAGCTCCCAAACTGCCAACAAAATAGATATACACCCATAACACACACACACACACACATACATCTATCTTTTCTTTGCCTGAAAACACATACCTAAACATTTCTCACACGCACACACACACTGATACTGTGTGGAATTAGAAAACCATCCCCGCGGTCTCATTAATTAATTAAACACCATGTGCCAGTGGCACCTGGGTACTGGTTATCACTGCCACTCAGACGCTCCGTGATCTTAATAACCACCCCACCACAGGGCAGAGAGGGTGCAGGAGGGGGTGAGAAGGCTTTCTACAAGTTCAAGTTAAGATAGTTCCTTTAAAATGCGAGAAAACCAGGTGGACACAGATGAACGACTCCAGGCACCATCTTTATGTTTAATGGGTAAAAGTGGTGCACGCTGAGTGGACCCTGACGAGTGTTTACTTCTTTTTTTATTATTTGTCACTGTTGTAGGCTTCTGGGTATCTTTTTAATCATTCGACCTTGAGGGGCTCCTAACTCACAGCAGGAATACCCTCCTCTTCATCAGTTCTTTATATGAGGAAGCACTGCTTGAGCACACACACCTGCTTTAAATCTTAAAAGCATTTTACTCGTCAACGTTCTTGTCGTACTGAGCTATTAGGTGGTAATTTCAACTTGCACCCATTCAAACCTAACAGAATATGTTCCTCATCAAATATAAAACAATATTTATTGGTTTAATGAGTCTAGCTTTCTCTGAGCATTGGTTAAACTAGAAAAATATTGGATTTTTCTTTAAATTGATATCACTTCTCGATGCCCTACAATGCCTTTCTCATTTTAAATTCCTGAGCCCATCAAAATGCAAATTATTCTCTCCTTAACATACACGCCTAGCCTGCAGCTTAAAAAAAAAAAAACTAACTGCAGACCGCTGTATCTGTGATTCATTGAAAAGTTTAAGATTGTTGTAAAAACTTTCAGCTCATATGTTGCCTGTTTTACCATCACACCAAAAACCTGATTTTAAATTCATTTAAAACTGTATACAGGTGCTGTCAAATAGGCCTTAAATGCATGTAGAAGTATGCAAACATAAAGTTTTATTAGGTTTGTAGTTTTTAATTTGATTTTTTTAGGGACTAGGGGAGAATAGTCAAAAACAGAAGAAATTGTTTATTAAGTTGCAGAATTAAAAAAAAAACTGCTGCCATGAATTAGGATTAAAAATTTGCTGCACAAAAGCGAAGTGACACTGATCTGAACAGCTTCTTCTAAAATCACACATTTCTTCTTTTGTTTACCGCATGTTTGCTTCTGTGCTCTTTTCCACAACACACAGCAGAACACAGAGAGTGCAGAGCATGAAAAACTCATGTACACATGTAAGAGAGAGCAGCAAAAAATAAACTTTTTATACTGAAGCATATTAGTGCCCTAAATCTACACGATGGCCCTGGCCGATTGAGTTTGCTTTTGCAATTCTTGTTACACAGCTAGAGGTCAAAGGTGAACATGTTCAAACCTAAAATCTTATCAGTTTATGATTAAATCAACAGAGATGTGCGTTAATTTAAGAAAAGAAATTAATGCTACATCTGAATTGGAATTTAAAAAATCCAAGCCAGGTAAGTTTATATGAGCTCGTCACATGTTTTATAATAGTTTGATTTATTATGAGGTCATAAATCAGCTCAAATTTGCTTTAAAATGCTCTAATCTACTTTCCATACTATCACTTTATTTGCCAGAAAGTTTCTACTCAACAAGTCATAATTTGGATATCAAGAGTGGAAATATTTAAGCTCCCAGACTAAAACCCATCGTGAATATTAAACAAGAAAATATATCTTATTTGCAATCATGTAAAAAAGGCCCGTGTACAATTAACTGACTTGACTTTCACTGCGATAGCAGTGGAACTGGTCTGTTTTAAATAAGAGCACAGCCACTGGTACTAATTAGACCTATAGGGACAAATAATTTGAACTTCTAAACAAGTCGTGTTTTTTTTTTCTTCTCCAGCTTTTGAAATTGACTCTGAAGAAATGTTGGAATCAATATGAGATGTGGGGACGGGAAACTCGATGCAAGTGAACAAAAAACTTGAAGTGAAACTGATGAGATTTCTGAACTGCATTTTGACTAATGAGAGAACACATCATCATCATCAATATGTGACATATTAGACTCCCTATAATCTGATAACACTTGAAGTCAAGAATAATGTAACGGAACGTGTAATTCAGTCAGTTTTACAAATACTGACCTAAAATTTGATGCAATAGTAACTGAGGCTGATCCCGAACACATACTCTGAGCACTTAACTGATTCTGGAAGAGCTTTTTTTAAAATGTCATCATTTGGAGGCAGCTAAGTTTGTTAGCAAAAAATCTACACATTAAACACTTAAATGTGGAGTTCCCCAAGGTTCAATTTTTGGTCCTACACTTTTCTACCCAAACAGGTTACCTATGGGAAACCTCATCAAGAAACATGGCATCAATTATCCTAGCTGTGCAGATGATGCACATCATACTGCTGTTTCATAATGAACCGTGGTGGCGCAGAGGTTAGAGAAGGTGGGACTGTGATCAGAGGGTCACCAGTCAACCCCCGGTTCAACTCCCTGGACCAACAACATCAAAATGTGGGTAGAAAAGGTGAAACACCCACACCTGCCTCCGCCCTCATTTGCCCCAGTCTGGACCCATAAACACATTCCCGCCCCCCCACCCGACAGCAGCTCCCGAAGGAACCTTAGATGGCAGCCCACTGCTTCACATGCTCACATATGCAATGGGAAAAATACAGAGCATTAATTTCCCCATTGGGGATTAATATAATTTTTTTTTTTTAATGAGCAAATTGATGTATTTTAAATATTTAGTCATGGATAGCAGGGGATTTTTTAATCAGGACAAATCTTGTAGGTTGTTTTGTTTTATTGTGCAAATCATGGTATGACAGCTGGCTATAAAGTTGGATTAATTTAAATATTAAAATGTGACTGTTCTGTAGTAATTTAGGCCAATTAAGCAGCTATAAACTAGAAGAAAAAGAAACTAAAAAGTCATACATATTTATCAGTGATTTAAGAATAAGAATGCAGATTCAGCTACAACACAGACTCTACAAATGATAACAACGGATGGAGACGCGTTTAACATCTTCTCTTCTGTAATAATGTTAATGAACAGAATAAAGTTTTGCTGCTGTCTGGTCTTGAATGTTTTATTCAACAATCTGTTGGACAATCAAATACATCTAAAGCATCAACGATGTTTCTGTGCCTCCCAGAAAATCTTTAGCTGAGTCATTAAAGGCCAAAAACAAACTTGCCAACAAAGTAAGACTCATAAGAAACTATGTGTCTTCTTGTTTATTAAGAACTCAAGAATGTCAATAAGAGCATTTCTATACAGTAGAAGGCTGAGGAGGCCAACGCACAGACATAATGACCTTCTGCTATTCTCCTCACTGATAATGACCCAGACACAGGCAACACTGCCCATCAGCCAGACCTCTAATAAAGCCAAACACTCCATCATCTGCTAATAACCTCTGCGCAGCTGCAGGAGTCACGGACAGGCCAGCGTCTTCTGAATGCAGGAGGGGGAACAAAGCTTTGGACCGACAGGATGCAGTGGAAAGCATCCAGTTTATTGATCTGAGACTGTGCACTGCCCAATGGCACGTGGCGAACACAGCATTCTTCTTCTGCATCTCCAAAACACAGAAAAAAAAAAAAAAAGAGGACTGCGGGAAAGTTAATCATACAAACAGTGAAAAACATTTCTCTTATAATCAATTCTTTCTGCAGACTCGTTTCTCAGACCCTTGGTTGCCACGTTGCGACACTTGTTTTTCCAGAGACAAGGCAGGTAAACTAATTTCTCTTTTCTTAATTGGTAAAGAAATTCCATCCTTTTTCTTCCCCTCTCAGCAACCCCTCCAGTGGAATGCTGATTAATTGTCTTCTTAATACACCCCCACCTCCCTTCACATTTACACTTAAATCCTCTGTGCAGTCATAGGTTTCACCTGCCTTCCCATCACTGGTTCAGCCGGACAATGTACCCATAGAGCTGGTCTGAGAAGGCCTGAAGAGAGAACTTCTCCTGCACCCTCCTCCTCCCAGCCTGCCCCATGTCCCTGCAGAGCTGCTGCTCCTTGATAAGCCTCTCCATGGCCTTGGAGAAGGCGTCAGCGGTGGGCTCGCACAGGAAGCCTGTCTCCCCGTCTGCTATGCTTTCCAGGGGCCCCCCAGAGTTCACAGCGATAACAGGACAGCAGCAATACATGGCCTCCACAGGAACTATCCCAAAATGTTCCCTGCTGGGGGTGTAAAGAACTGCGGTGCTGCCCCGCAGCAGCGCCACCTTCAGGGAATCGGAGGGGGAGCGCAGAAACGTGACACAGTCCATCAGGTAGAGCTGCTCGGCTAATTCTTTCAGCTCACTGTAGTGCTGAACGTTCTCAGTAACGCGATCATCGTAGCCTCCCGCGACCACCAGGTGAACACCTGCGTTCTGAGCAGGTGTAAGGCTGCACCTCAGGACTGCCAGAGCCTCCAGAGCCAGACCCAGGTTCTTCTTTCTCTCGTATCGGTTCAGAGACAGAAACATGTGAGAAGTTCCCTCAGGAAGCAGACCTTGCAGGCCCTGAGCCTCAGTGGACCCCTGGTCAAAGGTCTGTGTGTTCAGGGAGGGATACAGGACGTCTATCTGGACCCTGCTCAGACTCTGAAATGTCTCCCTGAAGATGCCTGCGGTGAACTGGCTGTTTACCAGAATCTAAAAAGTAAAGATAGATTAGTTCAGAAACATCTTACTCTGGTTTATTCAAAGTGACAATAAAACACTTATTATTAAAACAAAAGTTCAGAAATTCTCAAAGTAATTGGGGAAAAAGCACCATCACAATTCAGCTATTTGTAAGCAACACATTGTTAAATTTATTTTAATATTTCTGACACTGAATTTTATACTGAAGTTGCAGAAAGAAAAAAAAAACTTTTTCTTTTAGGGTGCATTCACACCAGCCCTGTTTAGTCCGCTTTAACCAAACTAACTCGTTTTCCTAGAAAGTCCGGTTCGTTTAGGGAGGTGTGAACGCGCCATCGAACTCTGTCACGGAACAAAAAGGCGAACTCTGGCCCGGGCTAAAACCTAGGTCTCGGTCCGGTAGAACAGAACTCCAGCGTGGTTCGAGTGTGGTGTGAATGTAAACAGACCGGACCCACTCCGCAGGACAAACAAACACGCATTTCTCTGAACTTATATGGAGCCGTCAGCTGCCTTGTGTGGAAAAACATTCTCCATGGTCTTCTGTCTCATCTTCTGCTCATGCTAAGTCCATTTTTGAAAAATGACAAAATATAACTCCTAAAACTTGATGCCACTTCGTTTTTATTTTTATTTACAGAAGAAGAAGAAGACGTGTCTTCAGAGGTTTTTGTGTCGTTTCTTTCAGTAGTTCTTGGTGCAGCACCCCCACAGGCGAGCGGGGGAACAGGTTGGTTCAACAGGTTGACTGGACTGCACAGTGCAGTGTGAATGCAAACGCACCAGCTCAAATGTAAACAAAAGCTCATGAATATTGGTCCCGAACCGAGTCTACCGGACTATCTGGTGTGAAAACGACCTTAATGGTTCTTCCAGGAACCATTATGTGATGTTGCACAGAAAACAATGCACAGCTTTGTTGGAGTCTGTAAAAATATTTCTTTCAAGACTTACATCTGATCTGCCTTTCTTTCTAAATGATCAGTTTCCTTGGAAAATTCTCTTGGTAGTCCAGACCACAACTTGATCTTATTTTTTTTACAGTCACTCCTTGATTTGGGGGAGTGGTGGCGCAGAGGTTAGAGAGGTGGGCCTGTGATCCGAAGATCGCCGGTTCACGCCCCAACAACATAAAAATTGTGGGTGGGGTAGGTAAAACACCCACACTTGCCCCCACCCTCATTCGCCCCACTCTGGGCCCATGAGCAAGGCCCTTAACCCCCACCATGTGCTCCCTAAACAGGTCTCTCTTGAAAATGAGTTCTCGTGGCTCAATGAGACTACCTGTATAAATAAAGGCTAAATGAAAAAAAAAATGATTTCCTTACAAACTAAAGAAACTTCTTAGTGTTTGTCAGCTTCGCTGACTTTCAATATTATAATTTTAAGCAGCTTTTTGAGGCTCTCTGAAGATGATTGAAACAAGGCTTTTAAAAGTCAGCTCAAATTCATTAAGAAAACGTCTTTAATTTGTTCTCTTTTCAGGAGTCGCCACAGTTGCTGTTATTGGGCGTTTTGTTTCTGCACTATTGGTGCTTAGCGTATTCTTAGTTTAGTGTATTTCTTAGTTCATATCTTAGATCTTATTACCGTTTTTCTGTTACAATTTATACTTTTGTTGGATGTAACTGGAGCCCTGTGAACACAATTACATTCCATCACATGCACCACATATGATGCGAATGACAATAAAGAAACTTTGACAATAGCAATTCATGCTCCTCCATCTCACTCTACCTCCACGTCCTCTCTAACTGCATCCGAACATCTTCTCTTTGACACTTCTGCCTTTTTTCCTAATCCATCCTTGTTATCTTCAAGAACCTCAACATCTTCATTTCTGCCATTTCCAGTTTTGTCTCCTGTCTTTTTGTCAATCAGTGCCACCGTCTCCAGATCATACAACATAGCTGATCTCACCACTGTCTTGTAAACCTTTCATTTGAGCTTTGCTGCAACTCTTATAAATCACTCCTGAACCTTTTCTCCATCCACTCCATACTGACTGGACTCTCTTTTTCACCTCTTTACCACACTCCCCATCTTCCTGGACAGTGGACCCCAAGTAATTGAAGTCCTGCACCTTTGTGACCTCTGCTCCTTGTAGTCTCACTGTTCCACCGGCCTCCCTCTCATTCACACACATGGACTCTGTCTTACTACGGCTGACTTTCATTCCTCTTCTTTCATGTGAATAACTCCACCTCTCCAACAACTACTGCTAATAATAATATTACCACTAATTATAATATCAATGCACTAATACAGTTCAAATAGTTGAAAAGTATTTATTTAATATCAGACCTTTGAAGATATGTTCACCTCCTTACAAATCACAGTAACAGCAGAGTTTGGTCCAAACTTGATCTTGTCACCCACATACTGTAAGCATGCAAGTAGGTCAGGCTTTGCTTTTGCTTTAATTTTATTTTGTATGTCATCATATTATGTCAATATTTAGTTAAGCCGTCTAATTTATCTCTCAGACATCACTGCAGTTATTTTTAGATTGATATATATATACTGTTCTTAAATCAGACATAATAAATAAGCAAACATAAATAATAAAGCATAAATCAGATACATTAATCCAGCAGCCCGATTTTTAACCAGTACAGGCAAAAGAGAGCACATTACACCAGTTTTGGCCTCACTGCACTGTCTATCGGTTCACCTTCGAATCCAGTTCAAAATACTCCTGTATGTCTACAAATCGCTGAACAGTTTCGTGCCCCTCATCTCTCTGATCTGCTACAACCGTATGTCCCACCACATTCCCTGAGGTCAGCGGACCAATTGCTCCTCAGTTCCAGGAACTCGTCTTAAGCACAGAGGTGACAGGGCCTGCTCTGTAGCAGGACCAAGACTTTGGAACGAGTTACCTCTGCTTGTCAGACAGGCCCCCTCCCTCTCGGTTTTCAAATCCCGTTTAAAAACTCACTACTATTCAGTAGCTTTCAACGCCAGATGATCTGTGCTTTGATCCTGTATGCTCCACACTGGTTTGTCGTCATATTTATTATCTGCATCGTTTTTATGTCTATATTCTGATTTACCTCATTTTGTATATTGCTTTGTGTGTTACCTGTTGTTCTGTCTGTACAGCACTTTGGTTGGCTTTGTAGCTGTTTTAAGTGCTCTATAAATAAAATGGTATGGTATTAAATGACCCAACCCTCCACACTCGCCCTTATTTACCATATCAGCCATGCCAGTGGTGCGTTCCTCCAACCAGTCAATGGGAGCTCTGTAAAATTTCTTTAGGGCCGACGTTCTCTGGGTCAGCAGTTGGTCTGGGAAGTGGCAGTAAAACAGAACTTTCTTTCTGTGACGGGACAACCGCAGTGCAGGTATACACACAGACACCTGGTATCAAGTGAAACAAAATATTTAAGTGTAGAAATATTCATATAAAACAGAATATTATTGAAAGGTAATAAAGTGAAACAGATGCCACTTAAAAAAAAGTGACAAATTACTTGCCTGATCACAGAAGATGACGTCATACTCAACACCACTGAGGAAGACCAGGTACAGAGCCACATAGATCATTCTTATATATGCACAGAGAGCATGAAGGTAGCCATACACACTGGTAGGTAACCAGTCACCCACACAAACCTTTAGAAAAGCAACCAAAATATAAAACGAGTGTGTGTTATCTAAATGATAAGAGCTTTATATTCATTTTAATCTCTGAAGGGTCATAGTAACGTGTTTAACACACCACAGGCAGGTCTGGGTCCAGGGTCTCTGAGAAGCAGTGAGTTGGATCATAATGGGCCGTCCATATCTGAACACTACACCCCTGGGACTTCAGGGCAACAGCGGCATCAACCACTAGCCTCTCTGCTCCTCCGATACCAAGATCCGGATGGAGAAACACCACCCGGGCCATCCTGCACAAAATAAAACACAAACAGAACTTTAAAAAATTATTTACGAAGTTTAAAATGTATTTAAAAGCATATATGATCCAAAGTGGCAACCAATCAACATTGCAACCAAAAGCACAAATGTGAAAGTTCAACTATGAATGAAAATAATAATAATAATTGCATAT